TGTGTGTATGTAGCGGCCTTGCGACAGGCTGATCACCCGTCCAAGGAGTCCTGCCGTCTGTGTAAAAATGATTACGAAACTGAAGAAGAGGCCAGGGCCCGACCAAGGGCTGCAGGGCCATTGATTAATGAGGATTCCGCAAATGAAGTCTGCACGAAATAAGACGGAAAGAGATGAATGTGCCCTGCCTATCTAACTCGTGCACCTTTGGACTAATTTCTCTGGTCTGAGTGTAACGTTTGTTGACAGTGCGGCTGTTGTTCAATTGATGGACTGCCCAAACGAACCAGATGTCACAGTGTAATGGATGGCTTATTCCGTTGGTACACTTATCGAATATCGACCATGAGAATGGATTTCCGGCTGAGGAATTTCTTCCTCTCTTCTTTGTGTGGGAGCCCGGATAGCACAGTCCGGCACAGTCGGTATAGCGACTGGCTACGGGCTCGACGACCGAGAAGCCGGAATTCGAGCCTCTGTACGATCAAGAATTTTCATTTCCCTACACCGTCCGGACCGGCTTTGGGGTCGACCAAAACTATACAATGGGTGCCGGGGGCTCCTTCCCGGGGCTAAAGCGGCCGGGGCTTGAAGCTGACCACTCACCTAGAACTAGTGCCGATGTCAAGGAAATGTGGGTATATAGTACATCCACATGCTTAATTAATTAAGCACAGGGACAATTTTACCTTTATAAGACCGTGATTTAAACAAAAGGGGGACGATGGATAATGCCCAGAAACATAATATTTGCATTAATATGCCATCGTCACAGATTTGTACGTATAGATCTTATATTCAGAATAGGCTTCCCTGCCTCTTTTGTGCCAAAAATATTTATGAGAGGGCGTCATCTTCAGATGGCGATGTAGATCTTTAGGACAGCATCAGAAATTTGCCAGATTCTAGTAGAATCAATCATACGAGAGGTCTCGTTGACCACACTCGACTTTTCTGCAGTAAAGTTGTCTTGTCAAGTTACTATGTACCCTCAAATATTTATTAAATATTTTTTTTTAATTTTTTTTACTGCTAGTGGGGTGGGACTAAGTCCCTTGTACTGCGGCTACTTCTGGCCTATTGTACCAGCCCCAGATGATAGGTGAGGGTGATTGTGGAGCAATTGGTGGAATGAAGATTGGCAGGGGAAACCGAAATACTCGGAGAAAACCTGCCCCAGCGTCACTTTGTCCACCACAAATCCCACTTGACCAACACGGGCTCGAACCCGGGCCGCCGTGGTGGGAAGCCAGCGACTAACCGCTTGAGCTATGGCGCGGCCCCTTCATTAAATAAAGAATGCGTTGAAGTGAATATGAAGGAGTCCCTTCACCATTTGTGGCCTCTGCTCCTGGCAGAATTGTTTATGAGGCATAGAGAGACTCCTCAGCCATTCGTTTTCAGAAACAGTTCAGTGGATAAGTGCATAGAGGCGGAAACATTCGTACAGAAATCGTTCGGTGTAAGGAATGTTGTGGCGTTCGTTTAGTTTGTCCGCTCACAACAGAGAGGTATTTACTATGACTTGAATTATCATAAAAGTCATTTTTCCCCTTTGTTTTCAAGTCACATTTTCATCTGTCTTTCTTTTTATATGATCCTTTGTTACAAAACAAAGAGCTCGTTTTTTCATCTCCGTTTTTTTTTAACGTTTTCACTGTTAATCACGCTGAATCTCGTTTCGAAACATTATTTTCACATTCTTTAAATATATTTATTATTTAATAATGTAAGTAAAATGTAATTGTTCTACCGTAGTCTATAGAGATTATAATTTCTTCATACTTTATTTTTCAATCTTTCACAGTTCTCCAGTTCTACCATAATCATAATAAAATTATATTTATTTATACGTCTTTTTTTGACAGTTGCCATTTCATCATTTCTAACTTGAAGATGGAAGCAGTGGCTTCTTCCGAAACATTAGTGACGACCAGCGAAACTGCACAGTGTTATAACCCAGAAGACCAAAATCGCAACATTCAGTCCTTGTTTATCTCCAACTTATTGAAGTACTTTTATGAACATGAATGATGACAGTATGAAGGAAGCGAAATATATTGTCGAATACAAATAATTAGGTAGGTAAGTAGGTAGACAGTCAGACAATTTAAACTGATGGAGAATAACACTTCTGTGTAGTGAAGTGAGAGGCCTATAAACGGCAACGTAATCCTGCAGCATTAGCTTGCGTGTCCTCTCATCCATAATCTGATAACACAGTGTTTCAGTACTGTCCGTATATAATTGGGATCTGACATTTTGCGCCTATAGAAAATCCGCGTTTTGTGTTAACAGTACGTCGCCTAGTTTGTCATCATCTAGAACTACATGCGGGCCAATTAGTTACTCGGAAACTTTGTTACTGCAGCCTACGAGATGATCCATATTTTATGAAACAAAACCGCGCTCCTGTATAAACTACTGGTACTTGCTTTCTGATTGTTCTCTACGCCTACACAGACGGCCGGGATGTTTTCACATTCCATTCCGTGTACAGAGTTACAGATGCGTATTTTCCGCTGAAATGATTTATCCTCGTTCCCAAAAATATCGCAGGATAATGAAGTATAGGACTAAGTGGCTTAGCGGCAACATTTAAGGTTCGCATTCAGAAGAAGTGTACTTCAGTGTTCCATCAGGACATCGGCCACCCTGATGGAAGATTTTCGCGGTTCTGACCGTTTCTTCAGACAATCGTTTTCATACATATTTATCTGCACCTTCTCTTTACATTGGAATGCAGAGGTCGGAAGGTACTAATGTTGTTTTGTGTTTAGCATAAACAGTGTTTTAAGTTTCCTGGATTAGAGTCAGATCTCTGGAGCTAATGTCGAAAGAAGAGGAAGGGAAAAATGAAAAGAAGCTGTTGTTATAATGACAGTCATCGAAGGCGAGATTAGAGCCCCGTACCAGAACATGTAGTGTTTTCAAAATCGTATTTCAAAAACAACAAAAAACAAACTCCATGGATTTAATCCGCAAGCGAAATATACCGACAGAGCGACCGACGCTTGTCGGCGAAGTTAGTGCCAACATTCGCGGATAGAGGGTGTCGCGTGGTCAGCGCAACGAATCCCCACGGCTGTTAATGTCGGTTTTCTAGACCGGCTAAATCGTATTTCGGGAGTTTCAACTCGGCGCTGGCGGCTGTGCATTTGATAAGATCTAGAAGTCCGTATATAGGAACTAGTTCTATCGATTGTGCCCAACTGAGTAGGATTTACCTGAAGACGGAAACAGAAACCAGTCTCGGAAACGATGTGTTTTGAAAAATATACAAGACGGTGTTTTTAGATGAAGACAAGACTATGGATAATGTCCGAAACAAAATATTGGTACTATGCGTTTGATGTTGTTTGTGCGTCTCGCTTCATTCTGAGAACATGCAGCGGTTGTTTCCATATTGCGTGGGAGGTACGCACAAAGTTTTAAAATATTATTTAAACAGCTTCGCCCTTTGAATACTTATCTCCAATCGCATCATTGGACGAAATATGGTTAATACGGGTCTCGAACAAAGGTTTTCTTTGTAGATTTGTTACAAAACCCGTGGAAGCGATAAATTTGTAATGTTTCCACAGAATTTCATTTCCGAATCTCATAGATTTCCTCAAACTAATGGGAACGTTATGCTTCAGATAAAAAAGTTACAGTTGTGGAAATAAATTAAGTTGCATCTTCTAAAGTTTAAGTGTTCCGCATGTGGGTTTCAAAGTTTCTTTTGCACTGCCAAAGATAGAACTTTGTTAATAAGACAATTCGCGTCTACTTCCTCCTTTGTCTTAGTTCTTCGTTCTTTTGAAGTGTGAAAAAATATTTATATTCTTATTGAATTACGTAGACCCTAACCTGTCACCAAAAAGAAGTCGTTAAGTAGCGTGACATTTCTTAAAATAACAGTTTCGAAATATGTCACTGTAATGTCATTTAAGGAAACGACTCATTTTTTTACCCTCAAGAAAAGTCACCGCTTTAAGTGATTACCTCCTTCTTTGTCTAGTAAACTTCCAATATTTTGTAGTCGATAGTTATTTTTTCGTTTTCTGTTACACAATGTAGCCCAGTTCGTATATTTGCTGTCAGCCATACAGTAGGTTGCGAATATATTCTATTCATTCAACAAAACTAATCTTTAAAGTCGATTAAACAATTTCTCGTCACGTGAACAAGCCACACTAATCTGAATATAATATTAATAATTCATAGAGACATTTTTCACATAGCTAAAAGAAAAAAATTCAAGGCTACATTACTAACAAACAAATAAGTTGATTTACTAATCAGCTACATAAGAAACAGTCTAACAACATGACATAATAACCAGTCGAACAATCCAACAGGCAATTGTCTGGGACATCGCATAGTAAACATTCATTCAATTCTCTGAGGAATTTCTTACTGTTATGAGAAGCCCACCGACCGCCTCTGTGGTCTAGTGGTCAGAGTTACTGCGTACAGATCCAGATGTCCGGGTTCGATTCCCGGTGCTACAAGATTTTGTGAGAAGTAGTGGGTCTGGAACGGGGTGCACTCAGCCTCGTAAGGATAATTGAGGAGGTATTTCAAGGAAATAGCGGCTCCGGTATAAAAAACCGAGATTAACGGCCTCGAATATTCCTTGCGCTGACCACGCGACACCCTCTATCCGCTGAAGTTTGCATTAACTTCGCGGCAGTCGCTCGGTCGGTATACTTCGCTTGCGGACACAAGCCACGGCATTTTTTTTTTCTCAGTGGTAGTCTTGAAATGGGATATACGACATGTAGTCTGGTGAAAGTACTTAAACCAAATTTCAAGGAATTATAACTCAGAAGATGGAATTCTTCATTGTCATTAATATGTTCAAATCACATTTTTTCCAATCAATTATTCGGTAACCGTCCTATCATGTGGTACCATACAATCTAAGCAATTGTAAGTGTTCTGAAATAAATAAATGAAAGACAAAGAACAATAAAAGCTCTAAATAGTATCTAAGAATATTGTTGTGTTTGCAGTTGGTGATCTTCCACGTGGAGAAGGGGCCGTTCTACGAAGATTTCTACCAGTGCGTGACTTTCGGGTTCTACACGGAGCCATGGCAAGAGCAATTATACACGACATTCAGCCTCGTGTGCATGTTCATACTGCCGCTGCTCATCCTCATATCGACGTACGTCTCCACAATCATCACTATTTCCAGTGAGTATCAGCCACTCACGTAATATCTCAGTCTAATGTAGATCCATACTTCTCAAGAGCCAGAGACATCGAACACTATTGTGACGTATAGACCCGTTGCTAATCGGTGACTCTGTAAACAACAATGGTTTCTGTGCATCGGCTCGCGGCAACGAATATCCACGCAACAATCGAGTTACTATTAGAAATGGTGTGTTTATTTGTGGTACTTGCTGAGATGTTATAATCAAGGGACAGAGTCAGTTGTTAGGGAGATCTGCAAGGGAGGGTGAAGAATCTCCACTGTTAGCAACCGTTGCTATGGAACGGCTCATGAAGAAACAGCAGGCTGGAAAACGCGTAGTGGGTGCTGTGGTGATTTCTGGCGTGTGGCCATCAGCAGTGGCGCTGTAATATCTTGTACTTAGAAGTCTTGTGTAAAAGTGGTCAATAAATCCATTCACCAGTCCAAATGCCGTCTATAATCACCACTACACACGAAACTATGCATTTATCTATTTGTTATTTAACGACGTTCTCTGTATTTAAACTATATGGCGCCTCAGATAGGATGATTAATGAATGTGGAGCAGTTGATTAAATGAGAACTGGCTGAGGAGAGAGTACTCACAGAAAGCCACATTATTCCAGTGTCACTTTATGCACCACAAATCCCACGTGACTTGACCGGGGATCGAACCCGGGCCACCTCAGGTGAAAGCACTTACTATAACTTTATGCGCCTTCGATGCAGGTCGGTGTATAATATTAAAATTGATCTTAGATAAGATGGGATGGCATGAACCGGAGTGATGTGGCTCAGGATAGGATCAGTGGAGGGCTCTTGTGAACACGGTAATGAACATTAGGGTTCCATAAATGTTGGGAATTTCTTGAGTGGCTGCACAATTGGCAGCTTTTCAAGAAGGGCTCAGCTCCATGAGTGAGTGAGTCAGTGAGTACATAAAATTAGTGTATAATTCGTGGGCTTGTGTCCTGGAATTTCGTATCCGAAACTATTGGACGGTATTCGATTAAATTTCGTATTGAGAATCTCAGCTAAGAGTTTTCCAAGAATTTAATTTGGTATGTAACTCTGAAGGAGAAGCGAGATAGCTCAGTCAATATATAGACTAGACTGCTGGCTGGACCCAACCCAACCTCGTATTCAGTGGGTGGACTAGGCTTTGTCTCCGGAAGTAAATCGGACGGAACGTGAACCTGAAAGCTCGCCTCCGCCTAGTGCCGAAGTTAAGAGTGCATGAAGCTATAGCTCGACACACATGATGTGTTCATGGAATGGTGCTTCATGAAACACATGAGCACATTTATCTTTTAACTTCACCGTTCAGGTATATTCCCTGCTTTACACGAAGCATATACAGTCCAAATTTTAAGTCATAAATTTTCCAAAAAGTTACTCATCCTGCTAAACGTCACATGTTATAAACGTCCTTCGCTATGCTGCATATTTACTGAAATACTCCTATAAACAGATTTAATGTCTGACTCAGTGAAATCGTGTCCATAATGTGATACACTGTGTAACACTAGATGTATACGTGGTACAGTCATTAAGTTCGTGGACTGTGGTTTTATAGCATCATATTACAAGGTATTCACATACACTTACACAGATCCACATCGGCCCTCAAAACAGTTGCCGATGGCCGCTATGCAAATCTGCCAACTTTGATATAGCTGCCGAAAACACTGCTGAAACATATTGGCAGGAAATTCCCGTACGGAATGGTATGGATTGGATTGATGTGGCTCAGGATAGGGACCAGTGGAGGGATTTTTGAACACGGTAGTGAACCTTCGGGTTCCATAAATGCTGGGAAATTCTTGAGTAGCTGCAGAATTTGCGGCTCCTCCAGAAGGACTCAGCTCCATGAGTAAGTAACTAACTCTCAATTATTTTTCGGGTTTTGTCTGATCCCCAAGTTCAACGCATGGTTTTAAACAATTTTGCAGGAACAGTCAGGCAGCTGTCTCGACATAGAGACACGAAGATTTCATAGCGTACCCACCTTTATGCTATGAAGGAAGTTTTTTAAATTTTAATTTCTTTTTGTCCCTTCGAAACGTGATTCTTGAACTAAAATTTATTAAATATACGAGTATACGATTCGAGCTAAGAAAGCCAATCTGACAAAATGTAGTCCTTATCTGAACTGTGTAACGCAGAAATACGGTCATACACATCACACAGCTACGCAGATACTATGTACCTGCCTTTAAAAATACGTGTATGTTTATAGAATAAATATATCCCATTGACCTTTTCTAATATGTCAAGGCTTCGTGTTATATGGGGTGTTCTCCTTACTTACTCCTTGACTTTACAGTATCTTAAGAACCTTTGTCCTTTATGAATGATGCACATTCTTGTCTGTTGTTTGCGTTTTGCTCCTCTATCTTCACTTTCAACTCCCGTTAATCATTCTCCGCACTTTCTAGCCAATTCAGTCTTGACCTATCCACTTTTCTTGTACTTTCTGACATACATTCAAAATTCCTCTTCGCCTCTCTTGCACTGTGCATTTTGATCGTATGACAGAGTCGCTTTCGTGTTCTTCATTAATATCTACAGATCATAGCTGCGTTTACATCCTTTAGGTCTCTGACAATGGTGTATAACACTCAGAATTTCTGGTTTTTTTTTTTTACTTTATCCATCGTCCGGTATTCTAAAAACTAGAGACCAGAACGTTTCGGAAACTGGTTCTGTTTTCGTCCTCAGGTTAGGGAGAAGACACCTACTCAGTTGGGCCCCTTAGAAAGAGCTAACTTCAATCGCGGGACGATGGGCAAAGTCCAAAAACCCAGTAATTCCGAGTGTCCTGGGTTTTATACACGCATCCACAAGCATTCACAGATACAATTTGGGTTTCTGCTGTAATTCGAAACCCACCAACAAGAATACCTTTGAGTATATTCCACGATATTACGCGATACCCGAAGCAAATTTGCTCCATTCCACTAATACCGAAGAGTCACTTCAGACAATTACAAGTTTGTAAGACGGTTGGTAGTACACACACACACACATATATATATATATAAGCTATCCCTGTAACGGGCCGTGAAGGCCCATAAGTTTGTGAAACGTCGAGGCTCCCACATTTTCTCTAGACATTTGGCTCACACATGGCGGTAAGGTTGTCAGGCTTACGCGCTGGCCGCCCTTTACCCCCAAGAATATTCCTGGTACTCATTTCTGTTAGAGACTGAGTCGACCACATGCCCATAGTGCGGCTGGAAGGATTAGGTAAATAAAAGGAAAAAATCCGCCTCATCGGGACTCGAATCCACAAACTTCCGGCTTGTAACATAGTGCCTCAACCAACTACGCTACCCCGTGCCCCCATATATGCTTCTATTCAGTTTCTTCAATTCCCGGTTAGTTCTGATTCTGAAATAAACTCTTGTTCGGTTACTGCTCCGTAAATATATACATACATACGCATTGTACTGGCAAAAATTGAAGGTATTTGTTGAATGCATTGGCTTTTTCTCCCTGGCTGGATAGACCGTGTGTCATCAGCACAGTGCCGTATGAAGAGACTGCAGTAAAGAAAAAAAAATACCTTCGAAGAACCCTCACAGATTCATTACAATTATACGGAACATTTGTGGCACAGTGCTCTCAGCTTCCCATCCTATCGAGAGAATTTCTTATCAGTAGCTCTGCAGGCCAACAACATCAAGAAACTTAACGCAAAATTTCCCGAAGTTATTTCTGCGCCGGAAAGTTGTGACTCCGACTTGAGAAAATCAGTCCAAGAATGAAGATGCAGACACTTTCCACTGAAGCTCCTTTTCAATATCGAATACTTAGAAGAGTCTACACTAAATACACTGAAAATCCCAAGATTCATATACGATTTGATGTTCTCTGTACAGTGATTGTGAAGTGCAGTATCTTCTGGGATATGATGCCTTGTAGTCTGGTAGAAGTTTGCCGGCATTTCAAAGGAACGTACTGGCCCCATCTTAAGGGCCGACGATTAAAACCAAACAAGCCATTAGCTCGTTCCTCTTCCCTGAAGATTGAGAGAGAACTTCCGTCTGAAATATTGGTAAACTTCCACCAGACCACATTAAATTGTCTCACAGGTGATATTTCTCCTAAAGATAACGTTTCGGGTTTTAGGTTTTTCAACTGCAATACCGAATAAGATTATAAGTCAGTTAAGGATTCAAAAGGAGGTTATAATCACATATTCGAAGGTACAGTCCCAGAACTGACACCGAGAGAATGAAGAATATCACGGAAAACATCCTTGAGAACGGCCAGTTATGTAAACTGTGAACTTACTAAAGATAGATTGCCAACATTATGATTGATTCAACGAAAGTTACTGAAAATATAACGAGAAGTCGGATGCGAGGCAGCTGGTGTTAATGTATCAGGGTTTCCTTCTTCCGTTAACGAAGTTACATGTGTGTGTCGACCACTAAGTCGTCCAGGCCGTAATCAGTAGCTATACATATATAATTACCGTCAATGTCAGCTGTTGTACCGTGTATCAAGGGGAGCCGGGATAGCGCAGTCAGTATGACTGCGGGCTGGACGACTTAGTGGTCGGAGTTCCTGTCCCGAAAGGGTCAAAATTTTCTCTTCACCACATCGTACAGACCGGCTCTGGGGCCCAACCAGCCTCCTGCCCAATGGGTACCGGGGCATGAACCTGACCGCTCACCTCCAACTAGTACCGAGGTCAAGAAACTATGGATCTATACATCCACTGACCCATACGCCTTCATGGCGTAGTGTTTAATTTTTAAGCACAAGGACAACTTTACCATTTTTTGCCGTGTACCAAGCAGAGCTATGCCAATAACCGCCCGCTCTATGTATACAGTGAACTTTAAATTAGAGGCCTCCATGATGAAGACTGGAGCAATGCGAAAACACAGAGCGCTTGTATGGTGGGCTACAGTTGCTGTATGGTACGGGTCATCAAACTTTGTGGCTGGCACAGCGTTTCTCTGAAATAATACATAAATTTGCA